TATTCGAAAAAAAATCTAAGCAATTATACATAATGATTAGTATTTAATTAGTATAAAGTCTGCTTATGCTATTATTTACAATTTTAATAAGCAACCAAGCTGTCTTCACATCTAGATTTAAGAATTTATATCGAAATCACTTTAATATTAAATACTTTTTGTCTCTCAAAACTTATGCAAGTTACTAATTCGCCATTTTTCCTTAATATTTTTCATATAATCTTCAATATGGTGCCAATGTAGCTAAAGTAGTGTAAATGTTCCAAATATTTATGTATAATGTTATGTGTCACTCAAATTTAATGGAATGGTATTTGTAAGTTTGCCTATAATTATTAAAACATTTTTCTTCAATTTAATTTTTTTCGTTTCATCTTTTTTTTTTTTTTTTTCTTTTTTTTTTTTTTTTTTTTGTTTTTGTGTTTAAGCTGCACTCAATTAGTCATAAGGTACCAATGTGTTAATTGTATGCCATTCTAATAATATTAGTATATAAGTAGTTTTACATAAGTAATCCAATGAAAATTACTTTATAAATTATTATTACAAAACTTTCAATTTCAAAAGAACATTTTTTATTTACAACATTCAAAAATATATAATAGTTAAACATTTCTCAAATATGTTGAAATATGCTTAATCACCACTAAAATCGTAAAATATTGCCTGCATTAAGGGGCATCTTGCGCCAAATTTAAATATACCACATCCGTCTCCGCTCTGGGCTAGAATGAGCGTGTTACTTTAAAGTTTTTAAGTACTCAGTTCAAAAATCACCAGTCCCAAGTCAAACATTTTAAGACAGAATTATTGCTCAGGCGATGGAGCAAGATGAAAAAAGCAATAACCAGGAACCCACAGAACTAAACTAGAAAAATAATTATTACGAGAACCTAGTCAAAATATTTGGACACAAAAATGCAGCATAGCGAAAGCTTTTCGTAATATTTTGAAAAATATTTGAATTGATGCTAAAATATTGCCTACATTAAGGGGCATCTTGCGCCAAATTCAAAAATCTTAGAATCGTTTCCGCTCTGTACTAAAGTGAGCCTGCGTTGTGAGACTACCGGAAGTAAAACTAATATAATTTTTATGACTGCTCAGTAAGAATCAGGTCAAAATTTTGAATGCAGTTTTATTGGCAAAACTCTGAAGCAGACTATGAAATTATCGAAAAAATATTTCCACTTCCGGTTTGACTAAAAATGTTAACAATTGCCAATGTCATGCCCAAGTGAATTACTTTGAACCTCCGACCAGAAAAAATTTGTACATCGGACATGTCTTAAGGTAACTGCCAACAAAACAAAAATTCAATTCTATCAAGAAAATTCACGTTCTAAAACGTGTTTCCTGCGTTTCGCTCAACATATGGTCATCATAATCGGCCTACTTAGTATCCTATTCGCAACACTATTATCCATCTTGAGACCCAGCATTCATAATTGGATAATATTCGACTAAATAGAGCAGGTCTTGCTGGACTTGCAGTGATGAAAATACAGCAGCCGTAGCTGAGAGTGTACATAGATGAAAATTGTGGAGAGTCGATACGTCGCAGTTCGCAGCAGCTCAGACTGACGTACAAAATACAGCTTGTTCAAGAACTGAGTCCGTTCGACCCTCGAAATCGGAACCGTCAATGACCGTTATGATCTGTTGCCTGAAATTGAAGCTTGTGATCTTGACATTTGGTTTCCACAAGGCGGCGCGGCACCACTTTCCACACATCGCATCAATCATTGGATTTATTGAGACACTTCGGTGTGCAAATAATTTCATGTTTTGTGGCGATCGATTGACCATAAAATCATGTGATATCACAGCGTTAGACATTTTACTGTGTGTTTTCAATATTTAAAGTCTAAAATCAATGCGGACAATCCTGCTTCGGTTCAGGCCATGGAGTAAAACATCACGCGAGTCATACGCCAGTTACCAGTCGAAATGCTCGAACGGGAATCGAAAATTGCACTCAACAGACGGACCATCTGAGACGTGCCGCAGCCAACGTTTGAAAGAGTTAATCTACAAAAAATAAATGCCAATGAAGCTACTCGTATTTCCAATGATAATAAACATTAAACATTAAATCTGAAGTTTCTGTGTTTTTCTTTAAAAAAAAGTAGGGAACCTTGGAATGGGTCACATTTTAGAATTATGAGAAGTAAAAATATTATTTTTTTTTTTATTTCTCAGATTTAGCCAAGACAAAAATTTTAATGTAGGCTTATTTCCATAGCGCTGGCTCAGTATATATTCAATAGAATATGTAAGTTTTCTTTGTTGCATTGGCTTTAATTAATTTTATTGCAGTTACAAAAGTGGCTGCAGTATCTTCTAAGCGACAGCATATTTTTTGGTTAGTAAAGCAATTATTAAAAGTCTTTTTAACAGTTTAAAATTTTCTACAACAGAATTTGACTAAATGTGTTATTCGTTGATATTACGACTTCTATTGACAAAATACGAAAATACTTTTTCGACTGCCAATGTAATTACGCCTTTAAATTATTACAAAAACATACTGAACTTTTGTAAGTTAAAATTAATAAAAATCATATTTTTTAACGGTATAAAAAATATATACAATATTATTAGGAACAACTAAGCAAATACTTGCATGTTATCTTCTTTAATTAATTTAAAATGCTTATCTTGTTTTCCACTTCTTTTTTTCTTTTACGTGCCTTCTCAATTACAGAATTTTCCATAATTTTCAACTTTCTTCGACAACTTTTTTTTATTTTACACCTCTTTATTTGTGTGAATATTAATTTATTTTATACAGTTTGTCTTATTTATAATTTTAGTTATTTTACAAGCATATTAATTATACACAAATTAAGAAAAACATTTAACTAGTTAAGTATAACGGTTAATAATTAAAGTCATATGTCAGTTATCGGTTTAGTAATGCACACATTAGTAATTATAATTATAATGCCACTTTAAATGTTGATGCCACAAATGGCATTTTGACTGCATAATGCTTCCACTTCTACGCCAATAAAGAAGAAGAATAAAGTTTCCACTTTCCACTTGCTCATTATGTTCAAAGTCTTCATTATGCACGAATTTTCACTTTACCTCTTTGGCTTAGACTAATATTATATAAATAGAATAAAGTTTGCTCTTAATATGCTAGATTTAAACTTAGTATATGCTAAAAATGTGTGATTTTGTTAAGCTTCTGATTTTCAATAAAATGTTATCTTTTCACAATCATTTCTTAAATATTTCGCATAATTTCTGTTTGAATACATTTATATTATGACTGATGTTTAAACTGAGTTTTGACAGTTGCATTGGCTGTCAAACAGTTGTTTGTTGATTTTTGACTATTTTTGGCCATTTGTGTTGGGGGGATTTGAAAACAATTTTCTTTAAATATACAACAGTTGAATTTTTTGCTATTTTTCAAATACTAACTAGTATTTTGTGTGATATTCTTCGAATGGTTATAATGGTTGGCCTAACATTTCGGCGAACTGAAAGATGTGCTAGTATTGGGAACGCACATAAAACTTTTCGAGTTATGAATCACCACAATCCCTTGTGTGACTATTTCCACCGCATTCACTTTGCTTGTTTACTGTAATGATCTTCTACAGTTTCATCCACTTTGCTGTCACTCTGTAATGGTCTACTTCAGTTTTGCTCGAACCCAGCATATGCTCGCTCCTCATTGATTTTGTCTGCTCCATAACCAGTACCAGTTTTTATGTAGTTTCATGCGCTTAGTTGCCCTCTGGTTTCGGCAAATTCGTGTCGTACGCGCGTATAACGACGGATTGTGGCACTGCACCACCTTCCTCTTGGGAGAAAGCGTAACCGTCTATATTATAAGTTGAAGAAAAGAAATGTGATTAATATTGTTTGCATGAAAGATTTGAAATTTGCAACAGATTCCAAAGAAATTTCAGTTTTAAAAGCCTGGAAAGTCATTTTAAAACTCAGACGTTTTGGAAATTTAACTTTGAAACTAAAATATGAATCTATTTTCTAATGCTTAATAAAAAGTCACTGGCTAMATTGCCTGTCATAGTTCTAATATAATTTCTAGTCTAATGATAGCTGTCTGATCCGCAAATAAATCAAATATTTCTCTTCAAATATTGTGAAAAAGTCTTATTCATTGCTTGCCTACAACTGCATACAGTAAGCTTCCCCCAAGTGTAAGCTTATTATCCCTAAACCTTCATATGTTATACAAGCTTTTTATGAGTTATATTAATTTCACCTTTATTTCTATGTTTATCGTTTGATACAAATATATTTTTAGCAATTTCACCAAGTGAAAGCTTTTTATTCGTAAACTTTTATATATTATAAAATTTCTTGATTGAGCTAAATTTAAATCTTCGCTATTTTCTTCTATGTATAACGTTTGATAAAAATATATCTTTAGCAATTTAACTAAGTGAAASCTTCTTTTCATAAACTAAACTTTCTTATATCATTCAAGCTTTTAAGTGAGCTATGTATTCATTTCTATATATATATTCATTTCTTCTCTGTTTTCTCCTAAATATTTTGGTAAAACTARAAAAWAAAWTWTTTTTCATAGATCTRAAAGCCTCCCCTTAGTGTTGTAAAACTATTAAATATACAAATTTTTAATTGTTAACGAAGCTTTTTCATATTTCTAACTTTTTTCTGTAAAGCTTTCTCTCAATTGGCTTCAAATTCAGCTCTCGCTGTAAGCATTTACTGAATTTTTACCTTACGTAGCTTTTCAATATTTTTTATATGAGCTTTTAAATTCGAAATAAGTCCCCCTGTTTTTCCTAAAAAATTATCAAATAAAAATTTCTTTGGAATCTGGACTWTACCATAACTCTTAAAATATGTATRTCCAATAYTTGAGTGAATTGTGTTGTGCTTTMRACGYCTGARCATGATCGGRGTTGACTGTAAGTCTTTTTTTAATGAAAATGCTATGTTTACAATAAATACCATATATGAGTGTTGAGTATATTATTAGTTTACATATGTATGTCTTTTATACAATGGGTTAAACGTGAGTTAAAAGTTTATCAAGGGGTGATTTCTGTATAAAATTTCGTAGTGTTACCTCAGTCAACAAAAATATTAAACAACAACTGAGCTGAGCTCCTACTCTCATATACTCCTATGTATAAATAGTTAAAAAATTAAAAAAAAAAAACATGAAAGCTCAATGTTTTTGGTGGCGCTTTCATATCTTGACAACCGAGCTATTGAACTAGTGAAAGCTTACAAGTGTTATTTACGGTAACAGCTATGAACTAAAAGCTTTCGCTGAGCGTTCAAAATTGTTTTATACTCTGATAAAACATTCATTTGACAGCWACAATAATTTAAATWAAAAAAYTCTTCTYCATCATCAACAAAAAATAATTGTAGGGGTGAACTTCTGGTAGGCACCTAATCATAGATGTAGAGGTAATAAATGCTTAATTGATAAGAAAAGACACGGATTGCTATGCCGCTGGAAATGCACAGCTAGAGAAAATTTAGTGTTAGCCCAAGAGTCAAGGCAAAAAGTCATTAGTGACAGTTTTGGGACCGAGTGGGGCAATATATCACAGCGTTTTTTTCAGCTTAGCAACAGCACTAACTAATGACAAGCAATATTGCATTAAAAAAATTATTTATATATATTTAAGTAGAAAAAAACCTAACTATTCCGTCAAGTAATTATTGAGCCATTAATCTTTCAATAACTTACACAACCCTTTACGCTATAATCCATCAAGGCACCTGCAATGTCGACAATGAAGTTTCATAACAAGCAGTTACCCAGGAAACATTATTGCGGAGTATGGAAAAATAGTTGATATTCTTATCTTAAAGATCTTAGCAGTAAATGCTTGCATTTCAAAAACTCAAAGTAGTTTTTTTTTCGTTTTCTCACGTGCTTAATGAGGTGAGAAAGGCGCCTTTCTGCTTCCAAAGACTTCTCAAAACCACTGTCGTAGATACAATTTTGGTTGCGACGAAGTATAAAATTATTTCGTATTTTTTATAAAATATCAGAGAGATAAAAATAGTTAATTTAGACAAAGCTTTCACTCCAAGTTTTGGGAACAAAGCTTTATTCATAAGAAAGCTTTCAGTCAAAGTATTGAGAATAAAGCTTTATCCGAAAAGTTGTAAAGGGAAGTAGAGATTAATAATTAAAATKTTTTTTCATCATTTCCAATACTGAACTTATTTTTGGATTTTTTAAGTATTTCTGTTTAAATTGATAGCATGAGAAATATATTATAATTCTCAAAAGATACCGGAAACTTTTAGGTAGGTAGTTAGGGTGTCTGTATGACTAAAACTTTTACCCACCAAAGAAATTTGCTTGAATGCTTGAAAAATAAACACATTTTTTTTTAGTTTTTTGATATCTATGCTTTAAATACATTGAGAATTTAYAAAATCTATTACACTTTGATTTTTATCATAAAAAATTTGACATTTCCTACGAGAGTCCAAATAAATTCTGAACCGAGTCGAAATCTTTAATAAAATTTAGTGACTTGCATTTTATTTTATCATGGATTTCAAGTGTTTCAAGATTTTTTTAACAAATGATTGAGTATAGCTGAATTGGGGACATCACTCTGTGAGACACTGGAAGAGATATTTATAACGAAGCCACAAAGTCTATGAAAATTCSCCTCAAGCGCAGGTACTCCTCATAGACCTCGTAACTGAACTCCGGCTGGTATCGCAAAGTACGAAAACTGCTCTATACGTGGCTCATTAGACTACMACCATTTTAACTTGMACTATCCAAGGTAWTGCTGAGAGCTCTCCCATTTTTGCTTACTGGTTAGTGTTTACCGGTGMTGAACAGAAATTTATAGAATCACGCTGACTGACCAATACTTTAATTGAATGTACATTAATTGCATTTTTCTGAATTTTTCCATTTCATTTTTTGTTGTGCACATTAAATATTGCTTTTACTTGCACTGTCCACACTCTTCTAGCAAATTTTTCAATACTTGATTAACTTTATATTTTTCCAATTTTGAAGCAATTTCGTCACTTCGATTAAAGCTGTTCCTACTGCTGTCAGTATATACGAGTCTACCCACCTAGCTAGCTATATATCTAGAAATCTTTGTGGCTATCATGAAACATACAAACTTGTCTCAACCACAAGGGAAACTCATCGTAGAAACACTGTTTTATATTATATGCCACAAAAAATGTTGTTAATTTTTTCATAGGTTTTAGTGTATTTGTACTCACGCGACAGTTCTAGTTCCGTTTCGACTCTGGTATTGGCACGACGCGTAAAAACGCTACGCAGCAGCCTCGCTGTTTCACTGAGTCTGTCGTTCGTATGTTTTTTTTGGTTTTGGTTTTTGAATTACCGAATATTTGAGTGAATTCAAGCGAGCGGTTGATTGTTGTTTTTGTTTATATGAGAAAAGAAGGTAAATAAATAGGCGAAGGCAAAAATTTATGCGATTAACAAGGATTATTAGTAACAAAGCTTTTTGTAACTCGTTCTGATATTGGTTGATTTTCTCGCTCAAAAAGGAACGCGCCAATTTAATTTTGAATTGTCAGTAGAGGCGGATAAGGAGTTGTTAAAATAAAAATACTGAAGTGTCTACGCCAAAGAAAGGAATGATTGTTTAGTATTTTAAAATATTTCTTACTAAAATTCTAATATACATAACTAGCAGAGCATACAACTATTACARATATATAAATATAAGTTTTAAGATTGAGCTTTTTATTTAATATGAAACGAGCAATTGAAATATTTGAAAGAAGAAAATGTTTTTTAAATGACTGTAAAATGTTTTAAAATTAAAAGTGGTAAGAACCAGTCTAAATTTTTCAAAAATATTAATTTTTTTTCTCAACCCA